GTCAGCCGGTTGAGAAGTGTTACTGCTTGAGCGTAGCACGCGTCAGCTACGGGAGAGAGGCAATGGTTACCGGTGTAAGCGGTGACACACCGATTCATCGATTGGTTGTACACGATCTGCGAGGCGCCTGGACGAAGACTAATCGCGATGTTGCGTTCGCGCTTTTTGACTCCTTTATCAAGACTCAGCAACTCAAGAAAAATTTGTCCACCGCAGCACTCAAAGGTTTCCATAGGGACAACAGTTCAACACCTCATAAGAATCGTGCCACCAGATCAGCCGTAGTCGATCAACAGAGCACACCCACACAAGTAACACCGTCCACTTCTGTAAAGCCACAGCAAGGCGAGGTGGTAGGAATGCTACAGAGATTAATAGCAGAGGCTGTGAATAAACCTGTGGCTTTTAGCGATGATCTATCAGTGCAGACTAGAGGACAACAATTACGCGGATTAGCGGCGTGCCATCAAGATGATGTCTTGCACAAAAACTGGCTAAGTATATATTTTTTGCCTTATTTATTCGTAAATACTACAAAACGATTCGTATCAAGTGAAGACTTGTATCTTTATTTTACTAATGTAAAAGATAATTTAATAAATAAATTTTTTTAGTCGCTTTGGTGAATAGCCAAGTGCTGTTGAAAGGCATTGAGACTCGCGGCTATGTTATTCTATCGGCGGCTAAAGCGGAGATATTGCAAAGAGTCCATCATCCAGTTTGGAAGGAACGATCTCTCGTCCCAAAAACAACTTGGGTCGGTTCGTTAGAATGTATGCAATACTACGCTACTGTAAGCGCGAATATCGACGATAATATCGATGATAATATTATGTGGTTGACATTGGATAATATACAGGTATACCTCAAAATATATGAGAAATATACAAGGTGTTTCATTTCAATTTCCCCAGGCAAATATTTCGGAAAATAATGAAAAATCGAAAAAATGTTTCAGACAAAAGTTATATGGTTTCTAGGGGAACATAAGTTGGTGCCATTAGTTTGACCTTGAAGAGTCACATGAAAGTTACGTGAAGGTCATTTTGAATTTCTTAAATGGAACACCCTATATATTTTTGCATATTCTTGTAGCTTATCTCGAAAGCTTTCCAAAACACTATAAATAAACATTTTTTTATCAAGTACGTTTCGAGTACTTTATGAGGCTTGAAATCATTTCTTAATTTTACATAAACCATAAAATATCTTGTAAAATATTCCTTTTTGGATTATCTTACCTTAATACTTTTATGTACAAAATATGAGAGGAATCAATTGGTGTAAAGAAAACATACATTTGTTTTTAAGAAAAAATATGGAATTGTTAATTGCAAATTACATATTTTTTCTTCGAAACAATTATGTGTTTTCTTTACACCAATTGAATCCTCTCATTATTTTGTACATAAAAGTATTAAGGTAAAATAATCGAAAAATGAATATTTTACAAGATATTTTACGGTTTATGTAAAATTAAGAAATGATTTCAAGCCTCATAACTCGAAAAGTACTTGATGAAAAAATGTTTATTTATAGTGTTTTGGAAAGCTCTCGAGATAAGCTACAAGAATATGCAAAAATATATAGAGTGTTCCATTTAAGAAATTCAAAATGACCTTCACGTAACCTTCATGTGACTCTTCAAGATCAAACTAATGGCACCAACTTATGTTCCCCTAGAAACCATACAACTTTTGTCCGAAACATTTTTTCGATTTTTCATTATTTTCCGAATATTTGTCTGGGGAAATTAAAATGAAATATATAGTAGCCTGTATATAGCAGAAATTATTTCACATGTATCACATTTTAGGAGAAAGATTCCACCATCATAGTAGGTCTGCCAGATGTCCCGGCTCTAGTGGGATCTGGTCAGAGCGTTGGTGGAGTGGTTAGTCAAACAGTAGGAGGGGGTGGCGGTCCTCAGCATCAATTACAACGCATAGTATCTCGATGTAAATGCGAGTTCTTCTATGTTGGTTATGGTCAAACATTAAACGTGGGCTGCGTGGACCAAGTACCACCTCCACCAAGAGAAGAAGTTAGTCCATGGGAAAGAAAAGATTTAACTGCAGCTGATGCATTCACATTGATGCATCATGATTTGGATGTATGCACCAATTCGTTACAATACGCAATGATTTTGGACATAGTTAATAACTTATTACTGTACGTGGAGCCAAGACGAAAGGAAGCTTCAGAGAGATTGCAGAGGATGAGATTTCAATTACAACTGCATTCTGTCGAGGATCAGAAAAGACCAATACAGCAATTACAGAACACAGTGCGCGGTTTAGTAGCGAAATTGAGGCGCTTGGAACGCGAGACCTATTTAGTACAGAAGGCACTAGTCGACGAATCGAGCCCAGAATTATTGACGGAAATGGAACGCTTAGAAGCAAACGTTTTCGAATGCAAGGAGCAACTTGGCGCCAAGGCGGAAGAATTGGACGTCATGTTAAATTGTTATAAAGAGACTACTGCACCGGCGGCCGCGTCGGCTACGCTAAAGGACAAACCGGCTGCAGTAGCTAGAGTGGCTGAAATTTGCTTTAAACATGCACAATGGAGACTGACGGACGCAGATGGTCAGCTGGGTATTGCCGACCTTATCTTGACTAATTTCCTTTATACAAAAACTAGCAAAACTGACGACTCGGTGGAACACTTGTTGGAATTGGGATACGTCCGAATGACGAATTTATTACCAAATCAAACTTATACAGAGGTACTTGTACCTACGGAGTTACAGAGTAATATGCCTGTAGATCGGCAAAGAGCTCTTCGAGTCTTCTGTAGAGAAAAAGCGCCAGTAGCGGGGATATCTGTGAAAGAACATTTTGAAATCAATGTGGTGCCTCTTACGATAGGTACAATATAACTCGTATATTATGTAGTTTTATTTTATGTCTTGTTATATTATTTCTTAGTTATTGTCTTTTTTATTTTGTTTAATTACCGTTTTATTTTCATTCTTTTAGCTCTATTTATTTTATTGCCTATCCTATATACAATTTAATTTTTATAAATCATTTGAATGTCCTCCTTGCCCAATTGGAGCGGACAGAATTTATTTTCTTCATTTCACTTTTGATTTTTGGCATGCTTTGCATTATTATCTTTATTGTAAATTCTTATTTTTTACATATTCTTTTTTCTATGCATGAAAGTTAACAATAACTTAAAAGTTGAAATATTTCTGAGAATTTTCATATTTAACAGTTTAAGCATGCAATATTCTATTTTGTATCTTTATTGTTCTAATTTAGATCTTTTTTAATTTTATAAATCATTTTTATAAATCATTTTCATTTGACTTAATTTATGAAATTGTTTTATTTTTTGTTTAGGTTTGACAAAAAAATTTTTTAATACCATGCTCAAGTTTTGTTTTCCCGAGAGAGATCCGGAAGGCATAGAGGAAACGCCAGCGCCACAACGTGATTCGTCTTTCTATGTTCCTATCGAGAGGAGAGACGACGTGGAGAAAATGAAAGAAAGGGCAGATAAAAACAAATTATTCATATACATTAAGATACCAGAAGTACCTGTACGTGTATCATACAAGGTAGGAATGTGTTAATAAGTTAAAAAGAAACATTTTTTTTTTCTTGCTTTAATGTAAATTATTTGTTAAGCTTATTTAATTTCATTCTTACAGGGAAACAAGGAAAAAAATCTTGAGGATGTGCGTGACTTTGCATTAGTTATACCAACTTTAGAGTATCATAACGTGACGTGGACATGGCTAGATTTGTTGCTAGCTATGAAAAGCGATTCCAGGCGTGTAATACTAAGTCAAGCCATCAAACAAAAATTGCAGATAAAACCGAGAGGACCGCCAGAGGAATCTGTGCCGCAAGAAGAGGATAAAGCTCGACTTTTATTAGGTACTAGGCATCTTCCTGGGGACGCAAGAAAAAAAAATGTATTTAAATTTAAGTAATTTGTATATATATACCTTCCTTGTACTATAGTAATTTATTTATTAATGGCACTGTAATAAATGTTACATACAAACTTATATTTGTTTTTTGTACAAATAAATTGCATAAGTGAAAATAATTTCTAGTAAACGCGCGCATACACACATACACACACACGGTGTTTCTTAATAAGTGCGAAAAATTTTAGGAGACAATTCTTTGTCGAAAATTAAGAAGTGTTTTTCATATAAACAAAAGTTCTAATAAAAAATTGAATAAGGGTTGCTAGTTTCATCCCCTTATAACAATACAGAAGGCTGAAAAAATATTAATAAAACTTTTTTACTAGTAGAAAATATCTACCTAATTTCATTTCTTTAACTTGTTCCAAATTTGAGAAAAAATAAAAACCTAATTTTTACCCTCATTTTTGGAGGAGTGTAACTTCACAGGGAAGGATATAGGAGTGTATGTTTATATAAAAACCTCCCTTTAGTTTTAGACAAAGAATCATCTAAAATTTTTTGCACTTATTAAGAAACATCAAGTGTGTGCGCGCGTGTATATTTTTTTCCTGAAATATTAGAAAATATTATGAAGATTTTATATTTCTATTTTTTCTAGACTGCAATTAAATCGACAAGAAAATTGTGACACTAGTATAAAAAAAATTCTGGAAAGTGTAAGAGTTTGCAATTCCTTTTTCGTCATTTTATAACTATTTTTCTATTTTTTTACTATCTTTGTTGTTGAAAATAATCTTATGATAATTGTATTAATGAAAAAAGTATGATAATAACAATTCAAAATAAATTTAAAGTCTCGTACAGAAATTTTTTGTATAACATTAAAAGTAAAGAATTGTAAATACCTGTTGTAAAATTCATTTTTGTCAAAGTAACTTAATTTTCACTTCTATACACACACATATATATACATGCATAAATTTTTAATTAATAAGACTATAAAGAATTATACTGTTTTTGAAATGATAATATATTGAAACAGAAATCAATGAGTATTAAAAAATGTTTGTTTAAAATATAACTTTTATTGTAAATTATATTTTTTTAATGAATAGAGGGATTAGCTATATAATTTGAAGTAGAAGTTTTGAAGTTCTCTCTCTTTTTTCCCTCTATATATGTGTATTGCTCATGTATGCGCACTAAAAAAAATTCATCTATTGATGTACAGATTATTTAAACAGATAGTTCTTATAGTTCGTTGTTTAAGTTCATACACATTTCAAATATTTACATGTACAAAATTATAGAGTTATTAGAGGTGCTTCTATATTTTTCCTTGCATGTCTCCATGCGTTCAAATCTGCCAGAATTCGCCTACCATATGCTGTATGAAGTTCACGAAAAGTTATTTTAGTTCTGGGTATATTCTCTGTCCTACCAGGTGCTGATCTGACGCTTTGAGAACGATAATGATAGTCTGATTTATTGAATGGATTATGTCGTTGCCTTGGTGGAGCTTTAGGAGAATGTTGCATTGGTAGAGGTGTTGTTTCTTCTTCTACAGCATCCAACTGACGTTGTAGTTCTGTCACCATAAGTTTCATATAATCATAACTAGCACAAGCTAATGCTTTCATCCATTGTTCCATAGATTCCTAGATATTATTAAAGATGAAGCATAAAATATAAACACAAATATAGCATATTAACAACATATATTCACCTGAGATTCTGCTGCTAGAACATAGCTTCTATTATTTAAACCATGAAAGACTATTTTAAAGCCAAATTGCTCTTCATCTTCCGCTAATTCAATTGTACATCCTTCGAGCACAATCATGCCCATTGGTTCTTTGTCACCACGTCGATCAAAATAGAATAATATATTTCCTTTAAGAACAAACCATCGTCTTTGATATCCACGATTCATTTCACCACGTTTATTCAACCAGCCCTCACGATCTATTGGTGTTGCAGATGTAGCAAATGCTACCATGTTTTTCTCATTGATTTTCATGACGTTTAGCAATAAATTTTCACGCAATTTCTACTAAATATTCGCAATACAATTTCACAATATAAAATAATCGAATAAATATTAAATTTATTAATAGATCCACAGTTCAATAAATTTTTCAGACTGTACAAATGCACACACACTTTTTCTTTTTTTATATTTATACTTTACATCCTACTTATGTAAAGCATAAAAACATTATAAGTCTTAATATTTTATTAATATAAATACTGTAATACTCATACATTACAATAAGCATTACATTATTTGTAGAATTATAATATTGTATATAAAATTATATTATATATAATAATTCTTTTATTTCAAAATTATATGCAAAAATTTGATTAAAATATTAAAAATGGCTATTCACATATGATGTATGTATGTACGTATGTGTGCTTGTATGTATGACGATGTATGATGCGCGCGCGCCACACACATCACACACCCACACACACCACACACCACACACACACCACACACTCATATAATCATAGCAAAGGTTTAGGTCTGTTCTTTATAGCTGAACTGGCTGCACTCGTTCAGAGGTTATCCTTTTTCTCCCAATGTAGAGTAAAAAGGATAGCCTCTGAACTAGTGTAGCCCAGTGTTGCCAGTTCAGCTATAGAGAACAGACTCTTTGTTCTTTATTGCTGCACTAAGCCCGGGTCCACAATAGGTAATTTAAGCCCTAAGCCTTAAGAAATTGACCAATCACAGTCAAGTATGAAGAGAATATCTGACTGTGATTGGTCAATTTCTTAAGGCTTAGGGCTTAAATTACCTATTGTAGACCCGGGCTAAGGCCGGTATTCATAGTCCGATCTTATATTTGAGATCGTCTTAAGTTCGAGTTTGGAATGCTACGCAATTATTTGATTGGTTGAATGAGGTCTTAAGTCAACCTCGGACTAGACTTAAGACAATCTCAAATATAAGATCGGACTATGAATACCGGCCTAAGTTCATGCTGCACTGCACTGAATTGAACTAGTATAAATAGGGATTGCCCGATTAGACACAGTACAATTAGACACAGCCAATCATATCGACCGATGCCTAGGGTAACCAGAACGATCAAGCACGATTAGCCAATCAAAGCCAGTTGTGTCCAATTGTACTGTGTCTAATCGGAGGTGTCTCTACTGTAGTATTGGATTTGTTCTTTTCAGCTGCACTGCTGCACTAGTGCAATAAGTTAGAAAGAGACAAACATGCTTTCTTTCACTCTAACTAATTGCACTAGTGCAGCAGTGCAGCTAAAAAGAACAGACCCATAAGTCTAATATCTTTGAAGTTTATACGATGCAAAAAATTTGTGCATAGAAAGTGCAAGTAAAACAAACAAATTTAGCGTTTTGCGAGTTGTTGCGAGACTTTTGTGATAAAAAATATAAGTACCAAATTCTGTTTTTAAATCACATTTAATTGAAATGATATAACTTCGAATGGAATTCCTGAAGTGTCAAATAAATTTGTCGATCTCCTAATTGATACAGAGACATATGTATTCTTTTCATAAAATTTTTCGATTTTAAATGGAGCATTTAATCTCCTCACATATAAGGATAGTACAGATGCGATGACCAATGTTCTTGGCTGTGGTGAAGGTGTGTATAAAAATCTTTCTAATTCTTAACCTTATTGTTCTTGTTATTCATTATGGGGCACTATTATAAAAATATCTTTCTCCAACTCGAAAGTCACTTAAATTATTAATTTAATTATTATTCAAATAGCAAGATGCTAGTGGTATGTCAACAAATTTAATTATGATTTTGTAGCAGACTTCAGTATGCTGTGTTTTATTTAAGCTTAATTTTTGACAGCACAATTTGTCGATAGTATATGAGAGTGAAAATACAGTAAAAATCAAATATTATTTGTTATTATGTTGTAATAACATATAGCAAATATTAAATAAAGTATTACAAGTATTGATGGTAAAAATGCAGCAGAAAGCAAGCACAGAAATAACAGAAACATGACAAACAGTAATATTTGTAGCACAGTTCAAATACTGATGGCAAAAATTCAGCAGAAATCATTATTGTCGCAATATAATGGCAAAAACAGAAAACTAGAACATATATTATGAGAAATACAATAATATTAATATAGATGTGAAAAAATTTATCATAAATATATATTACATAAGTGTTAGCAATAAATCATAAATTACTTGCAATTTTCCAATCATAAATATAATACATAACACGTTACATATTACATTTATATTCTATAATATAAATAATTAGCAGTTAAATTAGTTAAATAATTAAAATATTTAAATTTAAATAAATAATGTATTTATTAATAATTTATAAAACTTCAAGAGATTTATATGGGAATTGAACTCTTATTTTGTGTTTCAAACAGTTAATAATACTTCTCCATTGATTTTCCTGATATTCTAACAATTAGTTTATTTTGAATTCTTCTATTAGAATTGTGTTGTAGAGAAATTAAATTGATAAAGATAAATACTTTTATAATAAATACTTTTTTCCTTGCTTGCTTTTCATTTTTTATGTTTATCCATGACAAAAACTTGAAGATAAATACATTATATAACAATAAAAATAACTATATATAACCTATATAATTATATATAAGACATTATTAATATAATTTTAAATAATATTGACAACAGACAACAGTTTCATGACAGACTGTTATGTTTCTGCTGTTATCTTTTAATGACAATGCTTGTTCAATTTTTGTCATGTTTTTGTCATTCGATTTTTGACAATACTCTAGCATTGTACTCTAGTATTGTTATGCTTATTGTATTGATTTAGTTGATTTTTGACAAGTTGTATTCTTAATACGCAAATTCTATTTTTATATCTATTTTTATATCAAATTCTATTTTTATATTAAGAAATATTTCATTTTTACAACATTTTATGTAGCATATTATAATGTAAGAATTGCTCTTTCTCTGCTATATTTCTGCCACTAACTGAAATGGCAGATCATGTTGCTGGAGTTCTGTGAATGTAATAATAATATATAATGATCTTGGCAGATGTGGCTATCTGAGTAAATATTTAAATTTTCTTAATTATTTTTGTTAATATAAATATTATTAATATATATTAAATATTATTATTTTGTTAATATAAAATGTAATATAAGGATAAAATTAAATTTCTTTATCATTTGATGTATAAAAAGAAAGATTAAGTACGATGAATTATATGATTAAAGGTTTTTCTGTATAAGATTTTATAAATAGAATTAATCATTGATAAAACTGATTAAGAGTTTAATTATAGTCATTTTTAATCAATAAAATTAATTGATTAGTTATCTCCAATAAATTATTTCATTTTGTTGCATTGAGGAGAGGAAATATAGTGCTTTTTCTTCACATGTTAATCTATAAAATGTTTCATTATAACAATGAATAAACTTATATTTAAACTTAAAATAATAATATGATGTAGCAACAATCTATAGTACCAAATGTTTTATTTTTTTGTTCATATGTCTTCATAAATAGCAAAATGCTAACAGCATGTTGATAGTATGATAGCAAATCTAATTATGATTTTAGCAAATTTCTATTTTTCTGTGTCCGCAATTACTTTTGACCAGGCTAAACTTCTGACACAATATAAAAGCAAATTGCAACAAAAATTGAGCATCTGCTCAATCTTGTGATAGCAAATTTGCAGCAAATATTGAGCAAGATCTAGCGTATCTAAAATCAATAAGGAAACCTAAAAAATTAAGCATGATGTAATAATAAAAATATAGACGGCAAAAATGCAGCATGATTTCTAGTGTTTATTAAATATCACATGTATTATTGTATAAATGTTACTAGTAAGTTCCTAGTTGTAGTTTTTCTGTCATAAATATATTGATAATGTGTAACATATATTATTCATAATTATATTCTGTATAATATAAATAATTAACATAAAACTAAATGACTAATAAAATAATTAAATTTTAACAATCAGTTTAATATTGAATCTCTGTTGAAATTATATTAGAAGTTAGGTTGACAAAAATATTATACATCTTTAATCTTGTTAATCGCATTTTGTAATCTTTATATGCCTATGGCAGGAATTTATATATTAAATAGATGTTTCAATGGTGGAAAGAATTATAATTCGATATACATTACATTGTTGTTTTACATTATTTTATGAGAATTGACCATACTATGTTTCTGTTTTTCCTATTATCTTTTAAAATGACAGTGCATGTTCTATTTCTATTGAGTTTTTGCCATCTTGCAGATAAGCTTGATTTGCGACGATATTTTCTTACTGATATTTTTTTACTGAATTCCAATAGAAGACTCAGAATATTAAACTGATTGTAAAAAATGTAATTATTTTATATATAATTACTTAAATAATATTTTTATATAATTCTTTTATATTATTAAAATATTTTTATATAATTATTTTATATTATTTTATATCATTAATAAACTATGCTAATCATTTACAGCAGGCCAACGCTCGATTGCGATTGATCAAGTTTCAGCGTGATTCTTAATCTAAAAACGTTTCACTCTTGTTTCGATTTTACATTATGTAAAGCGAGATCTTTTCTTATTTAAATTGACTAAAACTTTTCAATGTTGTAGCCTTATGGACAAACATACGGAAGATTCAATAAGACTAGCTCTTACACATTATTCATTAAATTGTCAATTAATGGATGAAGTGGAAGCTCAGTCATCATATTAATTGAAAAAGAGTACAAAAGTATTTTTATAAGTTTTAAAATAAATTGTGTACGATCGAATATTAATATTTATTTATTTTCGTTATAATGAGCTCCCCTCTTACATGGGGAGTGTCAAATAGTGAGATTACAGATTTTGTTGAATTTTAAATATGTTTTAGAGTTAATCCCCCCACTATTTCATAGGCAAGTGGCACGATGCAATATTTGAATATTTGCGAGAAATTTGCATTCAAAGTTTTCGTGCGTCTTTTATATCAAACATTTTTTATTTAACATTGAGATTTGACATTTGAGATTTGCAGGTAGTGAGCGCAGTAAAGCGGATGAGGTAAGCGGACGGGAATACTGCATGTTGCAGGATGGAATTCTGCCTTTTTTTTTATTGTTACCAAATGTGCATTCTCACGTATATTACGCTCACTATCTCCAAATTTATAAAAAATGTTCGGTATAAAAAACGCACGAAAACTTTGAATGTAAATTTCTCGCGAATACTGAAATATTGCATCGTGCTACTTGCCTATGCAGTAGTGGGGGAGGGGGGTTAGCTCTAAACATATTTAAAATTCGGCAAAATCCATGATCTATTTGACATTCTCTTTGTCAGAAAAGAATAAAAATGAAATACAGTAATCAATCAGTGTATCTGTCGGTCAGAGACGGTCGTGGTGAAGCAAGTTGAGTATGTCCAGGTAACAAGCACACGTCATTTTGACGTTTCAAATTGGTCATTCACTATCTATTCTTGACGTCACGAATTGACATTTTTGTGACGTAAAAGTGACGGTCTAATGTCACAGATTCTTGACGTCATGACATGTACCGCATTTTGACGTAATAAAATGTATCATATTTTGATGTCTTTTTCTTAGCATAATAATATATTTAATAGTGTTGTCAAATAAAACACTCTCTAAAAGTGAATCAGTGTATTATCACTGAAAATCAGTAAATAGTTACTGATTACAGCAGTTATAAGTACAGCACTGTAAATCAGTGATATTTTATTGAAAGAATCAGTTAATAATTTTGACTATTTCAGTCAGTAATATCTCAGTAATATTTCTCAATATTAGTAATATTTCTTTCGTTATTGCCAGTAATATTAAACTATAATTCATCTCTCTATCTATTTCATAATATATAAATATAATATAAAAATAATCATAATATAAAAATATATAAATATAATAAATATAAAGATCAATAAATATATATAAATTTAAATAAATATATATAAAATTAAAAATTTTATTTATATTTACTAAATATTTATTATATTAAAAATTTTATTTTATTTATATTACATGTATATAGAACTTGTTATTTTAAATAGATAATTTTGTTTTGCGAACGAATAATTTTCATTAAGTAGCCAAACATTTATTTGTCCGACTTATAAGATCGATTTAATATCTGAAGCCTCTCTATTGCGATTGTATCAGAAATTAAATCGAAGTAATATTTCTAATTTTATGTCACTCTTTGCACTTTATATAATTCTTATGACTAAAATAAATACGAGAGAGATAGCGATCATAGGGTAAACGAACGAACTATGTTATATGAAAAATTTTAGAAGATTTTTTACGGGATCGATGTACTAACTAATGATAATAATAAAATAATCTCGTCACTTCATGACTAAAAAATGACGTCAAAATAATGTTATATCGAGACGTCAGTATAAAGTCATGTAACAAATCAGTTATTTTGACGACATATGATCAAAAATGACCAATTTGGAACCTCAAAATGACGTGTGCTTGTTACCTGGGTGGGAATAGGAAGAGTGAAGGCTAAAGTTCAAATCCGGCACAAGAAATTTTCATCACAACCATGCCCCCGCCTCGCATGAGCATTAATAGGGTACTAGAAGTACCGGAATGAA